TTCCTCTCTGTAATGTGGGGAGCATACCCGTCCTTCCCAGGGCTGTCAGGACGCAGGTGTAAAGGAGTTCAAGTCTGTGGAGCTCTTAGGTCAGAGCCTGGCCTCCCCGGGGATCAGACCTGCTGCTCAGCGTCCTGACCGCATGCTTTGAGGATGATAGGGCCTGGCAAGTGTTTGTTCCTGCTCTCCCCCATGCTGTCCCCCTTTTCTAGCTAGAGAGAAGCAGCTCCCTGCAGCCCTCCCCTACCACAAATCGGAGCCTAGTCAACCCCCGCCCCTGGGACCGTATGCAGAGGTGTAGGGGGAGAGCAACAGGCCGGCAGCAGCCTTGCCCCTTTCAGCCCCGGCCAAGGGCCCTCTGCTGGGGAGCTTCGGGAAACAGAACAGGGAGAAGGGCCACTTTCTTGGCCTAAAGCCGCTGAACCCATGACATGCTGGCGGTGGGGAGAGCAGGCAAGTCCTAGAGAACATTTTTTTCTCATTTCTGACCATCGGCCCCCTTTCCTGATGTTCTTGGAAGAGGTGTCAATAGCTGTCATTTCTAATAGCTGCCTGCTCCACCCTGTGCTGAAGGTTTCTCGGGCATGACTGCATTTAATCCTGTGCTTCCCTCTAGGGCTCAGGTACCTCAGCACAGAGACGGAAGTCAGTGGTTCAAGCCCTCACAGTAAGCAGTGCGACTGAGATCCCACCCAGGTCGGCCTCCCTCCGGAAGCTGCTGCCTGGGGCCACCCGAGGACTGCCAGGCTGCCCCTTCCCCGGACCAGTACACCCCCAGCAGGCTGAGCGATGCTGGGGGTACCGCTTTCTCCTGCCTCCAGCTCTGCACCAGCTTTTCCAGGACCTGTCCTGAGAGGTGGCAAGCTGGGCCACTCGTTCTTCCTCTTGACACACCCTTGCCTTTCACGTTTCCAGTCCCGGCCTTGCTCCGAACCCACCATTCCCCCTGAGCTCTGGAGCAGGGCAGCTTTGGGCATGGAGAGCTTGAAGGATGGGGAGCAACCCAGACATTTTAGCCACAGAGGGAGAGCGAGAAACCCAGTCTGAGAATCACTAGATGTTAGAGGGGCCTCGGCTTCTCAGTTATGAGCAACAGAGAGCTACTCTGAATTCATTAAAAAGAAGTGAATTGAAACAATGGCAATCACGGATGGCTATGGGGCCAGGGTTGGAAGACCACAGGTGGTCATGCCCCAGTCGCCTGGGTGGCCCAGCCAGAGTGCTCTCTGCTCTTGATGCCGCGGCCTCCAGAGCGAGATGACAAGGCTGCCGCCTGCTTCACTAGTACCTCCTTCAGAGGCCGGGGCAGGCATAGCTCATCTGTCAAAGCTAGGTCGCAGGCCAGTCCTGGCTGCAGAGGACTTTTCTGATGCAAAGTGCTTTGAAGACCCAGCAGGGCATTTTTAAATGGCATGGTCTCCAAAGGAAGGAAGGTTAGACGCTGGGCAGCATCCCCAACGAAAAATGTCCACTAGTGTCATCCAGTTAAAATTGTCACATTCCCGGGCGCCTGAGTGGCTCAGTTGTTGAGCACCTGCCTTCGGCTCGGGTCATGATGCTAGGGTCCTGGGATAGAGCCCGACATCAGGCTCCCTGCTCAGCAGGAGGCCTGCTTCTCCCTCTCCCGCTCCCCCTGCTTGTGTTCCCTCTCTCGCTATCAAATAAATCTTAAAAAAAAAAAAATTGTCACATTCCCCCTTAAACACGGATGAGGATGCGAAGTCCTATACAAGTGGCCAAGGCAAACCTGTTTCCTCTCTTGTGCCAACACCCATCAACCGCGTTCCAACTGAATGGGGGATCTGGAGGCTTCGGCCGGACACAGTGGGGAGCCATGGTTGTTACGCTGACCTACAGTGTGCCTCTTCCTGTGTAAGCCATTCAAACCCACTCACAGACGTTCCCTCCGGAAAGCCTGGTCTGTGTGCCTCCTCTGGGCCACCCGTTTGTGAATGACTAAACATCCTAACACCATTTCCTGTATTGGGCATTTTCACCCTGCAAGATGAGAACATAAAAGGTTTAATAAGAGGCTGTATCCGTATGGATGTTCCCAAACCTACCCGTACACGAGAACTCTCCAGAGGTTTTCTGCCCCACCAAAGGCACAAATCACAATGTCCTAGACACGGGGCAAGAACAGCTTAAAACACGTTGGTGTTTCTTAAGTAGCCAGTCTAGCACAACCAGCATCTGGGAACTCCTGTTCCAGAACAGAGGGCTACCTTCTATAGGCAGAGAAGGTTCCATTACCTTTCCACCAGCTAATGTTTACCAGAAGCCAAGAATGTGGATTTCCCAGCCTTAGAAATGGCCGGAATCTCTATGTGCATCCATCGCACGACTTGGAAAACAATATTGCCAATTGTTTAGGACACCTCTTTCCCTTCTCTATACTGTAAGGCTCCTAAGAGGAGCTTGGCCATCCTTATTCCTGTACTCTGGCACCTAGCAGGCTTTCAATTCATGACAACCTAGGATTACATGAAGGCACAATTACTGCCTCCACCTAACACCTAGTACAACAGAGAGTAGCCCTAGGAAGATGCTGAGCTGGAGCACTAAAACCTGGGCCAGATCACAATTCCAGGAATGGCCAGAGATCCAGACTGTACTCCAAAAGGCCCACGCTGGCTCAGGATTTTCGACGAGTCACTGTACCCGATGCTACTGAACAGCAAACCTTTCCTGGGGGATGCACTCAACAGAGAGCGGACAGGTACGGAGCTGTGCACCAGGCACGCTACCACGCACTTCCGTTAGCTCATTTAGTTCCCACCGCCTTATGTCGTAGGTTTTATTCCTTTGCCTTCCTCATTTAACAGACCCGCTGGAATCTGAATGCAGGCACTCTGGTTCCAGAGCACTCTTGTTTAACCACTACCTATTTTTCAATAAAGAAGATCCTTTCTGGGTATCTTGAATTTGGCCTTACTTGAAGAAGATCCTTTCTGGGTATCTTGAATTTGGCCTTACTTACACCAACATGGCAACTTAAGACAAAAACAAACTTAGATAAGCAAGGACTTACCGTCCCTAGCAGCCCAGAGGACCCAGAGGTTTCTATTGGCATGGAGTGATCTGCCTGGCTGGCTCCCTGCTCATGCTGCCTAACCTGCCTGGCTGAAGCCACTTAATCCCATTTGTCAAGTTAACGGCCCCAACACATGCCACCAGCAGCTGTGTTCTCAGCACAGAAGCCCAAGGATCCCTTCCTCTTGTGAACTGAGCCTTGCACACAGGGCTGCCCTGACCCTCTTTCTGATCCTAGGCTCTCTCACATCCGAATCCTGGCCAGGTTGGTCAAGACTGGCTGTCTGGAGGTCCCTCGTCTGCGCCATCTTGCCAGCAGAACCTCCTGACTCCGCAAGTACCTGGAATGAGCCATCACTGTAGAAAGCACCATCTTTCCACCTTCTTTTTATGTACTTAACTCACAAAATCTCTGCCGACTGACTTCTATTCCTCCTGGACATCAACCATGGCAGGACAAATAGGAGCACGGACAGGCTAAGGTAGGAGAGCCCCTCTGTGATGAGCAGAGACCTAGAACCTTGGTCTAGGCAGACCAAGCAGGGTTATTAACAAAAGGTAGTCATAAATGAAATATAAAAGACGTTAATTATTTAATGACACAGGAAAATAACACGTTATGAAACAAGCTGGTTACAAGTAGGGGGTAAAGGATGACTTCACTCCTGATAGAAAATTTAAAAGTATGTATACAAAACCCCTGATGGCTAGGTACGAAAATATTGACAGTTTTTACTCCTGCTCTGTGATTAAAGAGTTTTCCCTTTGTTTTTGTGTATTTTTTGACATGACTATTTCTGAAACAAAAAAGAAAAAAGTTACTGGATGTTTTAGATAAAGAGTTCTTCAATGCCAGGAGTCCAGCAGTCAAGGCCTGAAACCTAGCACAGGTCCAGCCAGGGGGACAGTGGCCAAGCCAGACTCAAAGGATCACTTCTTGTTTTTACTACTGGGATGCTATTGTATCAGGCTGTTTCCTCCCCATCTGAAGTGCTCAGTGTACTCGTAGTTAACAGGAAACTATGAACATTAACTGGCACAACAGCAAAACGATGCCAGCAACTTTGGTTTCAAATTGAACAAAATGTAATAACCATTTTGTCGTTATAAAATGCACTGAAAATAAAACAAGACACATGAAGCACTCTGGAAGTCAAGAGTTCCTACAACAAAAACCCCACATGATGAAACCCCCATCTTTTGCTGCTCTTTTTTGACTGCTGTTCATTTCCAATTTTCATCATAAACCTATTTTTGTTTCACAGTTCTGGAAGGGGAAATTTTTCTCAAAAAGATGCTTTGTCTCCTGAGTACTCTGCAGAGTTGGAAGGGTTCACCAAAATCCAAACCACTTGAAACGAAGTTGAATGAGCTGTGTCATTGCTTTGTGCCTTTTTCAAGAAGGGTTTTGCTAAGTTATTAAATGGAGAACAGATTATTACACTTATATTGTTGTAAATGAGGCTCAAAAATCTCAGATTCCCACTGTTCCCAACAAATGTTAGGACTGCTAAGGGTGCTTTATTCAAGTAACAGTGACAAATAACCCACACTTTGTGCTCTTAAAAAAATGGGAAAGGCTCACTGCTTTAAAATCTGGCATATATAAAAACCAACGCCACCGTACATTAAAAGTGCTTCCTAGCCACAGTAGCATTTTCAGGGGAGGTCAGGAACTATGGTTAAGGTCCAAGAAACAACCAAAACCAAAAGAACAAAAAACCTGAGACAATCTTCTGCATCACCAGCCCCAGCGTACCAGGTCACTTCTAAGTTCAACTTTCTAAGGCAGGTTGAACTGGGTGATGGCCATTAAGGAGGGCACGTGATGTAATGAGCACTGGGTGTTATATAAGACTGATGAATCACCGAACTCCACCTATGAAACCATTAACACATTACATGTTAATTGATTTTAAATAAAAAATACCCCACCCCCTCAAAACAATGACAAATTTGGAGATCAAAGATTTAAAATAAAATACTCTGTCATCATAACAAAATCCAAAAGATCCCTTGCTTCGCTCTTGAACCTAGAAAAACTGAACTCTGTTTTACATCCCCAAATAAGAGTGGAATCTCCTGGAAGTATCAGTGCCTGGTGCTTGTAACCCACGTCAATTCATACTCCTGTTCTATCAGTCCCAATTATGAAACCACAACAGTTCCTTTGTTAGAGAAAGGGAAAAAATCCACTTCAGGACAAAGCTATTCAAGACGAAAGGAAGGCGTGTCTTCAGTGGGAGAACTGCCGGCTGTCGGAGGACTTCTTGCTAATGTGTTTGAAGATTTTGGACCTCTCGACTTTCTTGGCTTTCTGGTAGCCGAAGCCGCCGCCGCCTCCTCTCTTTTTAAGCTTGCCGTCATTGCTGTTCACGTCTAAAGGTGAAGGTTAAGGAAATCAAGCAACTTGAAGACAATGAGCTCCCATCTAATATCCATACAGAGAACAAACCAGCATGTCCCCCCCCCGCCAAAAATACGACCATGAGCCCACGTGACCCATTTCCAGGAAGTCGAGTGGTCATGTGATCATGGACTACAATGAGCAGGTGTGACTTTTAAGCCAATGTAACAGTCATGTTAGATACTGATACTGTTTTCTGCACAACTAAACTGAAGACAATTATTCACAGGGAGTTGAGAGGTACATCAGCAAGTCTACAGAAACACAGTAAAAACCACCCTCCATGTCAAAACAAATGACTTTCCCCTCTGTTCGGAGTGGATTCGGGAATGCTTAACCAAATGAAGGAGCTGCTCTTCCTTCCTCAACGATTCGGCAAGTAGGCACCACACTAGACACTTACTCGCTGCCTACGAGGGGGGACGGTGACCCCGTCTCGTCCCCTCGGGAGTTGGAGCCGCAGCGCTAGCTCAGCTCACAGGCCTTTCGCTGTTCGTTTCCTCGGTGGAAAACATGTGGATGAAGTGCAGATGATCAACTGCAACAGAAGCAACTGGAGGGGTTTCCTCTGCCTTTTACCCTGAGTAGCACTTATGGGTTATTTTCTTCTGCTAGTCTTGCAACTTCCTTGTATGAAATCCTTCCATGGCCCTGAGGGGATAAACACTCTGAGGTCCCATCTTCTCTCTCCAGCCCCAGGGCATGCTGCTCTCCATGACCTCATATAGGGAAGCCTCACAAAAGCCCAAGCCCTGCAACTGCACCCCCCTGGGCTTCTCTCCAGAACACACAACTCTGGCTTCTCCCTGTCTGCCTGTCAAATTCCTAGAGGCCTAAAGCACAGGCTGTCTTCTGTCTGTAAGCCCCACCCCGACAGTGAAGCCCTGCCTCCTGGGCGCTAGCGCTGACAAGCAGACACGGACCAGACCTCGCCGGAGCACACACCAAGCCAAGTGCCCCTCTGTCAACCTTTTGTCCCTCAGTCCTCGGATGAACTCCTGACAACAAAGAAAAGGATACTCAGATCAACAAAAGGAGGCACCTTGAACCCAAACGACAGAGCAACCTGAGGCAAATTTAAGTTATTAACATTGAAGATCTGTTTCAGAGAATGGGAATCATATGCTCGAATGTAGGACTTATATGCTTCCTGGGCTGACTTATGAAGGAAATAGTTCTTTTCAATCAATTTTTCAAGCTGAAATGAAGAAAACATTGGTTTCAATAAAATACAAAAGCAGACTTCAGACATATTAGAATAAAACCATCCTGTAAAAAAACATTTGTTCCAATACACTCGCTCTAAGTTTTGTAATACTGGCAAAATCAGGGCGCAGTAAGAAGAATGTCAGAGCTCTTACAAGGTATGAACTGGAACAAGGTAGGAAACACAGGAATGTGATAAGCAGCATAGCAAGAACCCTAAACCCTAAAGAATCACAGTCCAAACCTGGTTCATGAAAAGGGAGAGTCAGAGGACGGTGATTACCAACGGAGGCTACCTTTTCCTCACAAATGTTAAAAAAAAAACAAAATACAAAGAACACACAAATAAAAATACCAAACATACCTGAGACTGAATGTCAGAAATTTTGGACCAGGAAAACTCAAATTCACTTAATGGAACCTAGAAAACAAATACACGAAGATTAGTAAACCAGGATGGATCAATATTCAGAGTTGTAGATGATGGAGCAGTGACAAGCGTCCTGTCCCATGAAGAACCAGGACAGCCAGGCCTGTATGACTCCCTCAGGACAGACAGCCGCTCCTCTGGTCTCCTGAAGCCAAAGGAAAACTCTTAGCTTACTTCCGCTACCTTCACATGCATTGGGCTGAGGACCCTTCCTGAAAGAGAAGGCAAGGGACTACACAGGGACAGTGAGTCAATGAAGCCCTTTTCTCTACAGAAGGAGCTCTATGGATGCAACATGAGGCAGCCCGATGCTTCCAGTCAGAAGGACCACCGGCCCCTCCCTGCATGTCAGGGGAGCTGTCCTACCGCCCCCTGCCCTGTGATAGCAGAGCTCACGATGACCACACACCCCTACGGGAAGGATCTCTCACCAGTCATCACTTATTCGGAAACTGCAAAAATGCCAGACCTCAGAGAGGTGCTGGAAAAACAGCTGCCCAAGTGCCGCCCTCAGAGCCCGCAGTCTTGCCGAGAAGACAGGCAGGGGGTAAGAGGACAGCTGGATGAGCACTCGAGCTGGGGGAACGCCAACGACAGGACATCAGTGACGGCGTCCCACAAGACCGCGAAGCTCATCCAAACCAGAAGCATTCTGAAGATCCAAAAAAGGGCATTCTAGAGCAAAGACGCAAAGGCCATTTTTGGGAACTGCGCATACGTGCAATTCCTACCAAGAGGAATCTGTTCCCAGCTTAGATTTTCCAAACCAAGATCTTTACCTTGGATTGCTTCAAGTAACGAAGGAAACCCAATTCTTCAGGGCGTAAAATGAGCAAGGCATGCCCTCTCCCGTTTAGGCCTCTGGCTGTTCTTCCCACACGATGAATATATTCCTTTGGTGGAGAGAGAACACCTGAATTAATATACCAACTTCCATGGGAACCTGCCTTTCCAGGACCTGTACGGTGGTGGACACAGCATGTCAGCACATCTGGACGAGATGGTGCTCCTCCCCCAGGGCCATGCCACCACACACACTAGCCATGTCCCCTGCTTCTGCATGGACCGTGAGCAAAGAGGTAACAGGGCCACGACTGAGGCCTGATACCCACTGGACGTGATATTCACATTAATGACTACTTAGTGTGCTTCATCTTCAAAATAACTTTCTGAATACGTTTTTGTGCTAGCTGACAATTTATGTCATCTATTGGTTGTTGACAATACTTAACAAAACTTATTTTACTACACATGCTACAGAATCTTACCTATTTCTGGCAGCGAATTTTATTTTCTTCTAACACCTACTGTTCTTCACAGACCATTCCAAGCACATGACATTCCTAACTTCAGCCTCACTGAGGCCTCTCAAATCTTGACACACCCCCTTTGGGTCCTGCAAAAGCCCTAGCTATTACCAGCACCAGACAAATACTACAGTCAGTGTGCAGTACAACAGGACTTGGATAACTACGGGATCAACCTCTGAATGTGAAATATGGTGAGTCTCAGAGAAACCAGAAAGTTCATTCCTTAACATAGAGCCCTTGTGGAGAAACTCCAAGGATGCCAGTTACCTTGGGGTCATCTGGAGGGTCATACTGAACAATCCAGTCCACTTCAGGAATATCCAGCCCTCTAGCTGCCACGTCGGTACACAACAATATCCCTGAATCTGCGTTGCAGAACTGGAAGAATGTGGTTGTGCGCTTATTTTGCTTCTGCCTTCCCTAGAATCAAGAATCAAATCAAATCATTCATTAGAGCTGGAAACTTGAGGTCATTTCTGGGAGGTGTGGATGTACAACCCCCCAGCTATGGAGTTATTAACCTGCTTCATTTCACTCTCTGGCCTAGATCTCATTTCCCTAAGTGGATGGTATGCCTTACCCCTTTGTGGTCCTCACCCTTCCACACCCAGCAAAGCTCCCTCCACATGGGATCATTCTACATTTAGAGAGAGTGATACCACAAACCCCACAATCCATATACTTGATAAGTGTTAACTTTTTAAATAAACTCATGATAATCACTTACATGAATGGCCAAGACAGGTAAATCGATGTAGTTCAGCAACTCATAATGGTATTTCACAGACTTACAGGATGAAAAGAAGACCATCAGTTTCTTCTTCCGGTTCTTCTTAAGGAATGTAAAGAGCAGGAGGAATCTCTTTTCCGAGGGACAAATAACATATCCCTAAAAATAATCAGACACTTTCAGCTTCATAAACCAATATGATTTGATGGACAGCACAGATAAACACTGCATATACACCATCGTGCCTTACCTACAGCAATATTACTGACTTCACTATAACAAAGCATCCCTGAACTGAGCCTAATTTTAGCTCTTCTGATTCCTTTTACTGGGTGCAATCACTAAATACTAAGTACTTTTCATATTTCTGAGATTACAGACTTCTGGTTACCCACAGTTTGTGCAACCATAATAAAGTAACACCTCTACACGTTGGAACCCTCAAGGCACAGCAATGCTCCATTTTCTAAAAGGTCCTTAAATAGCAAGATCTCAAATAACTACAGCCTAAGTGCACTGTCGTAAACAAGATAACAAAGGCAAGTGAATACATTTTTTAAAACATACAATGAACAGAATTTTTAAGCGAGATCGTTATTTGAAATATTTTATTCATCTAAAGACCCAACTTTCTGTTTTCAATCCACTTAGGTTGGATCTCTGTCACCTCATTTCCAATTTTTCAGAGCAATGTGCCTGAAACCAGCCTCTGCAACTGCTAACTCAACCTTGCATCTTAGAGCCAAAGGTCATTAAATAACACTTTTTTTTACTGCATTTACAACTGGTAGTGATTAGCGTTCTCCTATGTGGCAGGCAGTATTAAAAGACAGAATAAAGAGACCTGATCAAATTATTCAGAATTCAAGATTCGTGATGCTAAACAGCCAATATCCAAATTCACTATATTTGAACCAGTTCATTAATCCATCTGCTTTTGGGATGATCCTCCAAACAATTACAAGGACACACCAAAGATGAGCCATAAATATAAGATCTTGACAAAAAGTACCTGCTCAAGACCATCCACTGTTGCATTAGCTTTATCGTCATCAACACCAACATACAATGGCTCCTTTTTCAAAGAAATCCTTGCCAAGTCTTCAACTTTTCGAGTTTGTGTGGCAGAAAAGAGCATGGTTTGCCTGCGTGCTAAAAGAGATACATATAAAAATAACCCAAATATTTCAGGGAATCTTTAGCATTGCCTCACCACTAGAAATACTGAGCAAAACTATCAGGAATGGGACGTGTGATATCACTAGAGATATTAAGAAGGGAATATCAACTTTATCTCTATAAATTCGACAACTTAGATAAAATGGACAATTTCCCTGAAAGACAAATGGCTAAAACTCACTTGAGATGAAACAGATATCCTGAATAGCTTTGTATCTATTACAGAAATTGGAGTTAAAATCATAATGTAAAGAAAACTCCAACCCCAAAGACTTCCACTCGTGAATTCTATCAAACATTTAAGGAAAAAATATTACCAATTCTGCACAATCTCTCCAGGATTTGAAGAGATTTTTTATTTCCCAACTCATTCTTTGAAGCCAGCCATTATTACCCTGATACCAAAACCCAATAATGATTCATAAGCACAGATGCCAAATTTCTAAACAAAACTTTAGCAAAGGCGAACGTAACATATAAAAAGGATAATGCATTATGACCAAGTGGGGTTTACTTCAGGAATGCAGGGTTGTTTAATATCTGAAAATTAACCGATATAATTTCCTGAGTTAACAAATTTAAAATTTAAAGAAATATTTAATGAACAAAAACAAACATCTGTTCATTTTAACAGACATGGTAAAAGCATGACAGAATTTAACGTCTCTTTCTGATTGTGATGTTACTGTTTTATGCTGTTACTGCAATTTCACGTCTAATGGTTTGGAAGCCATTTTTGTAATGAATAAATGTACATCCTGCACAGTATCTGTATCATGCCATTCTGGATTAATAAAAACCACCAGTATATGCAGATAAACAAAACAAAAACAAAAAACATCTCAGCAAACCAGGAAGAGAAAGGATCATTTTCATCCTCCGTCTGGTAAAGGGCAACTACAAAAAAGAAATCTATAGCTAACACCATACTTAATGGCGAAAGACGGTTGTCTCCAACAATTGGGGTGATGGGTTTCACAGGTGTAAACACGTCAAACAAACTGTGTATTTATAACATGTTACAGACCGTATCAATTATACTTCAATAAAGCATCCAAAAACAAACCATATAATAAATGGAATCATGGCCTTATTACATTCATAACGTTGCAAGTACTCTAACCCAGGTACGTACAACTCAAGTACAACACAGCAGGCAACACATTCATGGCTGCCTGGGAGATGTCAGCATGGGTCAGAAAAAGCAAGATGGGGTGCTGGGGACAGACAGGAGTGAGACAGATGTTAGGACTGTCTAACTTGCATTATAACCTCTAAAGTGGCAAAACCACTGCATTAAGTTACTGGTAAGTCTGACGCTTGCTTTGCAAACTACCTCTAGGGCTGACCGGCACAACCACTTCGCTGGGCTAGATTAAAATTCCGGTATGAATAGTTTTCAAAGAGGAACCACCCTCACCTGCTTGCAACAGCTACTTTGCAAACCACATGCAGATATTACGTCTACTTACTTGGCAGAAGTTTAATAATCTGTTTTAATTCCTCTTCAAACCCAACATCCAAGATACGATCAGCCTCATCAATAACCAGACACTGCAGATTTTTATACATAAACCCTGGGGTATTCTAACAAGACCAAGGCAAAGAAAAACGTGTTAGCTGACAGATTCAGGTTTCACACAAGACAAGGAGACAGGCACCCCCCTCCCCAGTGTTGCCTTACCTGCATGTGGTCCAGGAGGCGGCCTGGGGTGGCCACAATGATGTTGATCCCATTACCGAGTTTCTGTGCTTCAGCAGATCTGTTGCTGCCGCCCATTATCAACCCGTATGTGTGGACATGGTGCGTCATCAGCTCCTTAAGAACACCGAAAGTCTGCATGGCCAGTTCCCTAGTAGGTGAGAGGATAAGAACTCCAGTTCCTAAAAGGCAAAAAAATGACAGTAAAAGTCCAGCTGTAGTTAACACCATGAGTCTGTAAGAGTGACGATAAACTTCTAGTGAGTTACCGGCGAAACTCACCATTCCTAGGCATGAACTTTAACTTGACAATGAGTTCAACTGCAGGGATGAGAAATGCCAGCGTTTTGCCACTGCCTGTTTTTGCGGCTGCTAGAAGATCCCTAAATATCAGCAATGGAAAGGAAAGAGAGACATTTAGTCTACTTATTCAACAAGCATTTACTGAATACCTACTATGTACTACCACATTGCAGACATCAAGGCTAGAATGTGAATAAGAAAAACAAAGTCCCTAGCTTCTTTATCACTGCAATCAATCACTGAGGTTACGGATCTAACTCAGAAATAAGAATTGTGCTATAAAACAGAAAGAACACTTTTCTTCAAACATCAGTAACTTAAAGCCTCTTAACGAAGCATGGATGTATCAACTCAAAGCACAGTGCAAACATCAACAGAATATGTTGGCATTTTCTTTCTAAATGACTAGCACTAAAAATAGGTACTAATGCCCAAACATCAATGTTAATCATACCTGCCTTCCAGAAGTGGTCTGATACTTTTATGCTGAATTTCAGTCATGTTTGTAAAGCCCATTTCTTTTATTGCCCTCAGAGTGTTCTCATTGACAAGATTACTAAGAGAAGCAAATGAAGTATCCTCAAAAGCTCCTAAATAAAAGAGTTTATCATTAGCAAATTTATTTTTAATACTTAATACTGCTATAGCTATGTAAATTAGTTTTGCTGTGTGAAAACATTAATGGGTGGGAGTCAAGCTGAGAAGAGCTTCTTCCAGTAAGAAAGACTAGACCCCCACCATTCCTACGTAATACCAAGACAAAGACACTGACTTCTGAAATTTCTCCACTGCTGACGGCTGTGTAAAGGCTAGAACCTACACTCTAACAAAACAGTAAAGAATGGAGGAGGTATAATCAAGGGACTTGTGTCTAATGAAAATGTCAAGCATGGGGGGTGGTGCAGAGAGAAATGATTTAAGAAATCTGAAATAAAAAATGAAAGCATCCAGTACAGAAAGTGAGTGTGAAGTCAATCAAAAGAGCTGTTAATCTCACTCCAAAAAGACAATTGAGAAGGTCAGACATAGCCACATACCCTTAGACCCGACCCACACGTCAAGTGTGGTGGTCCTTCAGCAGGGGAAGATATGAAAATCACCTGGGGAGGCCCTACCCCATACCTGCCCTGCTTATCAGTCAGCTATTGTTCACGTTGGCACTACCGATATCTTGGGCTGGATCATTCTTTGTTGTGAGAGGCCGTCCCATGCATTACTGGATGTTCTGCAGCTTCCCTGACCTCCACCCACTAAATGACAGTAGCCTGCCCCCAGTTCTGACAACCAAACATGTTGGCAGTCAACCTTCACGGTTTGCCTGGGACTGAAGTTTATGAGATGCAGGACTTCAGATGCTAAAACTGGTCGGGAAACCGGGATGACCTGGTCACCCCCCCAACGAAGCAAAACTGCCCTGGTTGAGAACCACTGCCGTAACCTTTGCAATTTTGATTAAGCAAGCCTGGGGTTAGGCCTCAATATTTTAACAAATAAAAAACCCACACCGAACAACTCAAGGAACTAGACATTTCTGGTCTGGAGCAAGTGATTTTGGCCAAACTCTTGACCTTATAAAGAAGAGAGGCCGAAGGAAGTCACCTGGCCAAAGTCCCTCAATAATGTGAATTTCATCCTTCCTTACTAATAACTGGGGCAATATTAAACTTCTGGGCCAATAATCTTCCTACTACGAAATGAAATGAGCTTTAGAAAACAACAAACCGAAGGAACAGAGGACCCCAAAAGCTGTCTGTGTGCTTATCAAAATATTTAGTGTTAGGAATGCAGAAAAAGAAAACAACAGAAACAAGAGCTAAGGCACACAAAGTGGATAAAGCAGCCAACTAGATATAAAAATATTTCTCGTCAATACTTCTAGGTAAATGAAAAGTCACAACAGCACCTTCAAATCCTGATCCAGAAGGCATGCCATGTTTAGGGTCTCTCTGGAAAACTTTCTAAAGTTACCTGTCAGTCCCAGGGGTAGGCTGGGCACTTCACTGTCCTCTTCCTGCTCATCTGGCTTCTCCACACTGTGTTCTGTCTCTTCAGGAGCTTGAGCCCCTTCTTCAGAGTCCCCTTTGTCTTCAGTTTTTGCTTTTTTGGTATCTTTGGTTTTAAAGGAAAACACCCCCCCCCATTTTTTTTGTTAAAATAAAATACCAAACAGGATCACAAAATAAAAAGATGTGTAATGCAGAGAGGCATGTTTTCAAAAGCTTAACAAATTTCCAGTTTTAATATGCTAAGAATGTCTCTTTTTCATGACTAAAGATTTAATTATATGTAAAAACCCAGGGGCACATGCAGATTTGCCAACAAAACTTTATTTTTTAGGCCTAGTATAGTATCTTGAGTGACCAAGACATTTTTGAAAAGTTGAACAGTTGAAGTATACTAATTACATTCAATTCTGTATATTCCACTGAGGAAAAAAAGGGCGGTGATTAATGGTTTTTCGAACTCTTAACAAGCACTAATTTGTCCTACTATGCCATTAAACATAAATCTTCCATAAAAGCTTTTTTCTTTCTATAAAGGACCAGAGAGTAAACACTGTAGGTTTTGCAGGCCATAGGGTCTGTCACAATAAAGACCAAATAAACAAATGTGCACTGCAGTGTTCCAATGAAGCTTTATTTCCCAAAAGTAGGCAGAGGGCTGAATAGTTTAACACCTGTTGTAGTCTCCCTTGAAATCTCTGCTTGCTCACATCTCAAATAAAATGCCTATCCTTCAGGTAAGCTTATCCAAATCCAACCATCTTCCAAAAGAAACTGGCCTCCCCCCATCCTGGCCGTTCTACTCTCTTGGGAATTAACGTTCCATTTATATAGAAGTCACCTGCTATTTTTACACAATTTGCATATCCAAATTATTACTAAGTCTCCTTTCAAGAGGAGAAATTTACGGTAGGAAAAAAAAATTGGGACAAAAAAAGGTAAATAAAAAGAATCATTAATGCAAAGTCCACTGAAATAAAGGCTTTAGAAGATAGGAACGTACTAGCCCAGACATCTTTAGTGTAACGCCACAATTCTGTTTGAAAACAGGTAATAAACCTAAAATACTATGCCATAATATAGTCTGTTTAAAAGCCTAGCCAACCATCAAAAAGAGCAAATTTCTAGAATTCAAAGGAGGCTTTTACTGAAGAGTGAGGTGTTCTTCAGTTGTTAGGGAATGTAAAAGCACGACACATTTCTCAGTATCTTAATCAAAAAAAAAAAAAAAAAAAAAAAGCCACACCCCAGCCCCTACCTTGCTTCTTTTTGCTACTAGGTTATTTTTTGGTATACTAATGAGTATAGGGATTCTTGCATGTTGTATGAATACAGTAGTAAAAGAAAGAAGGTAAAACTGTAAAATTGTTTGAATGCCTGAAGTTCAAAGAAAGAAGTACTTACCAGGCCCAGCACCATCCACCATTTTTCTCTTTTTCTTCTTCTTTTTTTTGGATTCTGAATTGGGAGGCTGTGTGGCTGCTTCTCCATTGATTATTATGGTAGATTTCTTTTTTTTTTTAAGTTGTACAGTTTCCACGGTTTCTTTAGCTATCTCTCCATTCTGGGCTTCTGACGAGCCCACATTCACAGACTGTTTTAGGGATTTTTTAACCTTCCCACCTCCCACTGTTTCTTCAGACACATCTCCATTTTGGGTTTCCGATAAGCTCACATCCGAAGGCTCTGTTCAAAAACAGAATGCACGTTGTGACAAAAGGGTAGGTTTGCTTAAGAACACTGGGATCCCAGGCGAGAAACCTCAGTGTGTCCATGACTGAGATGATTTAGCTTTTAATTCCCTTTCATGTACATTATTAAAACCACCTAATTATGGCATTCTACTACAGGACAAGTCAATTTCCTTTAATGAAAAATGCTGGAAAAGGGAAAGCTACATTGATTTCTTAACTTCAAAAAACCGTGTATCTGTAAGAATCTGGGACAGCAAAACTTCAGTGAAGTTAAACATTTAAACGGATGGGGCCAGACAGCAGCTACAAACACATTTTAGTATCAGGTAGTCGATAAATCTATGGCTAACCAATATATCATTAAAGACTTCCATCTATTCACACAACTACTGCTTTTCCTATAATTTCAGAACACTCAACCTAACTTTCCTAAGCAGCAGTGAACTGAAAATTCACTTATTGGTCCCAGTATTTATCATATATGTATGTAAATGCCTAGGGAAGTCTTTAAAAGTTTCCCTGTTTACATATAATAAAAAGTAACAACACTTTGAAAAATTTTTATTTTATTATTTTTTAATTTTAATTGTTACCTTTAAGTACCAAGAGGTAGTTAGTAGTGCTGTATTATTCACAGGAACTGGAAATACAAGGGAGCTTCAAAACCATTTCTAAAACCCACAAACCTGTCCTCTTCTTCAGGATTCCTTGCAAGCCACTCATCTGCTGGAATCCAACTAGAGTAAGGAATTATGCCTCCAACATTGCCCTGGGGGACTGATATGTTATACAGGATCCAAAAAAGGATAAAGTAACTTCAAGATCTCTGGCTCTCTGTTAGGAACTTAGGACTGCAAACAAGGTGGGTAAGAATGACGGCCATTCAGGTAACAGCCTTTTCAGTTAAGTATTTATTAAGGATGCAAATACCTGGAAGTGCTTGAGGAATTCATGATGTTAGGAGCAATGGGAAGATAGGGCACGCACTGGACACGTGCAGAAGACACTTCTAGAGCTGAAAATAGGATATGCTCCAGGAGTCGAGAGAGACTGGACATGGACAGGGAAGGCAATTGTATCAACAAAACTCCGTGACAAGAGAGACAATGAGCTTGTTTTGAAGCAACGCAGGCATTAAATAGACGTGAAAGGAAGGCGCGTGTAGATGACAAGTTCCACGTATCTGACTGGAAATGGGCCAGGGGGTTGGGGTGGGGGATAAAGTGGGACGGACTCAGAATAAGGGAGACATAAAAAAGGTGGTTCGGGGAAAGCCTGGGTAGAGGCCTTGGGAAGAAAACTCAGGCGGCCTGTTTCTGCCCTGATTCTGTACGGAGAAACTGAGGCTCAGAAAAATCAGGGGCAGATCTGGGGCACGCGGAGAGCGGCACCCGAGCGGGACCGACTGGAAACCGCGCCAGGCTGTCTTTCACTCTCAACAAGCACACGTGCCCCGGGGGAAGCGGCCACACCACCTCGGGGCTGCAGTGACTCCCGAGCAGAGCAGCGCCGCGACCCAGGGGCGGGCTTCCGCAGCTACCGAGACCCCCAGTCCCCAAGCTCCGCGCATCTCACCCTGGAGCTTTAAGTTTCGCTGGCGCAATTTGAGGTTCCGTTTCTCGATCTTCTTGCGCAGGAGTTTCATGGGTAGATGGGACATGTTGTCGGAGAAGCGCCTCCACTGCAGCGCCACAACTCGGCTACCGGGTTGACGTTACTTCTTCCTGGGCCACACGTGCGTAGCTCGGCCAACCGGAAACACGTCACAGGGACCGCTGGAGGACTGCAGTCGGAAAAATGCGTCCCGGGTGGAAGTGCTTCCGACGACCGGACTCTGTGCAGCGCCCTCTAGAGGAGTGGAAGACCGACCCAGGTTTACCTTGTGTCGGAGCAGGCGGCTTGTGTTAGGGGCCCTTGCGGGTCCTGGGAGTGTGAGCTTCCCCAGAGGAGGCTGAGGAAACAAGGACGAGCAGGGGGCTTTTGGGAGTCTCCAGTTTTATATGCTTGCCCTCTTTCTTTGTATCCTGGACTATTTGGGAAATCGAATAAAATCTAAATTTCATCTGTAGGTTGTGAAAGAAGATTCCGAAGTTAAGCATTGCGAAGAGAGTCATTCAAAATAGGGTTGGGAGCATAGAGAAGCGGGGTCTCTGCACGTCTCCTGTTTCAATTCTTGGAACACCATGAACTCTTGACTTTTATCAGTTGCAACTGGTCAGTTGGGACCACCTCCTGGAACACATTCTTCTACTTCAGACTGAAATAGAGCTAATGTAACCTCTGCTAGCTGAATGACAATGGTATATTAAATAGTCAGTTGAACTCTGCAGGGGTAATGGTAATTCTTTTGAAACAAGTTCTGTAACCTTGTGGCTTTTGCCTTTATAAACCTGCTCTCCCTCATTGCAGTTCAGAGTCCAACACTTTTAACAGAGTGAATTTCTAAGACCAGGTCTAACAAATCAGTATCATAGATCAGATCTCAGAAAACATCTGAGTTTGGGGAGGTGGAAGTTAATCATGTATGTGCCTCTGAAGTTCCTTTTGCCCCTCACTGCTAGAGCCTGTCTTAGTATCTGTTCAGTATATGTTTAACTATTTGAAATTTCTTCCTTGGGGCCCCCAGCCCAGATGTCTCTTTTTCCAGAATATATTCATTCATCAATTACTCACTCATTTAGCAATTATTTTTTGAGCATATTTATGCTAGGAGTATGTGATAGGTGTGTGCTCTTTCCTGGGAATAGAATGGTGGGTAAGATGCACTCAGTTCACCTTCATGGAACTTAGAGTTGACATATGGAGAGGATAGAAAATTAAACAGCTGTGGTGAACTACTTAGTGACAAGGGAAGCAAATGACAGCTCAGCACCCTCATGTGGGAATGGGGATGGGGATGGAGTCGTTCATTCCATACCCTCTGTGCATATGCACTGTGCTAGCAGCAGGCAGAGAATGAAAATGATGCTTTTATTTAACTATTTAAGTTTAATATGGATCATGCCTCACCCATCTCGTTCTTTCAATTTTGTTTTGTCACCTGAGAGCCCCCTTGGCCCCCTGAACTCAGGACTGACTCCCTGAACTCAGGGCTGACCTCCTGAACCCAAGATACTCCTAGAAGCTTATACTTAACTTTTTAGAAACCAACAAACTGCTGAAGCAGAAAAAGAAACATTTGAACATGAGGCCAGCACAGATGAATCAGAAAGTGCCTGACCTGACCAACAGTTAACCTCAGCCTCAGTATAATGTTAAAATTCCCCTCCAAACATCATCCCAAGCCCTAATAAAAGGAGCCTGCTTTCCCTTGTTCAGGGCGTCATGCTTTGGAAATTATTGAGCAAATAAAGTGACCTTGTGAGGCAATCATCTGGTGCAGTTTCTGTCTGTAGCTCACCAAGGAGCAGACCACTTGGTCCAGTAACAATTTGAGATCCTTAAAACCTTAGACAAGTGTTTATATAATGAAAAGAAGATTTCTGTGTACTTTCTTTTCATTCAAGTAATGTTAAAAAGCTTCACTTTGGGGTACCTGGGTGGCTCAGTCAGTTAAGCATCTGACTCTTCATTTTAGCTCAGGTTATGATCTTGGGGTTGTGGAATTGAGCCGCAACTCAGGCTTTGCTATGGGTGTGGAACCTGCTTGGGATTCTCTCTCTCCCTCTGCCCCTAACCCCCCAACCCCCTGTTCTTCCTCTCTAAAACAAAACAAAACAAAATAGCTGCACTTCACTTGGAAAAGAAAAGTCTATTTCACAAACCCCTTAGAATTTGAAAAAGAAGTAATTGGCTCATTCACTCTCTCCAACCACTGCATTAAGACTCCTGAAGTGATTTTCTGGGAACTTTCAAATGCTAGTTGCTACAGGCTAACCACTCTGTAGTGTACAGGAATTTAAAAAGTTTTGTATTACTGTAAATAAGTGGGTGTCCCCTCAGGTGGCTTGACTTTGGTTCTCTGGATTGTACTAAGCAGATGGCAGGTGCTTCTTCTTCAATGAACCGATGGATATGAAAAGCAGAGATGATTTCAGGGAGCATTGCTACAATTCCCCAAGGCATTATTGGTGCAGTGCTTCTAGAAGGTGGAGAGGGTACAGAAGTACATTCATTACAGAAACCTTTCTCACAAGAACTACATTCATTTATGACTTAAAAAAAAAGACAAACTACTCTGTGCCAGGTGCTATATTGGGCCCCCAGGGGTCAGGCAGTGAACAAGACAGGCAAGGTTTTTGTTTCTAGGGTGCTTACTGCATACAGAGGGAAACAGATATTAATCAGGTAAACAAGTGAGTCAACAAGGTAACTTACATGGAGCTAAAATCTGGGAAGACATTAAAACAAGATGTTGTAGTATAATAGAGATGGATAGGGGGCAGAGCAGCATGCTACTCAGTGTTAGAAGTATTTTTGTGGAAACCGCCCAGCAAAGACCTGGGGTCAGAGAAAACACTGGTAAAGACAGCCTTACATGTCATTAAGTAACAATGCAGGACCACAGCAGCAGCTGAGCAGGGGGGAGTCCAGGGCTCAAAAGCTTGGAGAGTGAAGCTTGAATGGGGGAGGTGGAGAACTTAAAAAAGACAACTTCCTTTAACACCCCCACCCGCACCCCAAGTGCCCCAGTCTGACTGCTAGTGATTGAATCACAGCCTGACTCTTGCTTCTCCATATAGACTTCAGAATTGGGATTTATTTTTAATACACTTTTATTTGACATGATCTTAGATTTACAAGAACATTGCAAAAGTACTACCCTCCACCCAGTTTGTCCTAATGTTAACAACTCAGCCATGAGACAGTGGTCAATATTAAGACATTGAGTTTGATAACTTACTGTTAACTACAAACTTGTTACTATTAACTAAACTTTATTCAGATAATACCCGTTTCTTCACTAATGTCCTTTTTGTGTCCCAGGATCCTAATCAAGCTACTATATTGCACACAGAGAATTTTCTGAAATGTAATCTTGACTGTTTCCTAAACACTCTGTGTGAGGGTGTAAATGAGGGGAGTGGCTATCAGCCAGAAGCTGGTAGGTCCACACTGTAGTTCTCAACATGTCATTTTTACTGGTTCATTATTTTATTTTATTTTTTTTCGAGATTTTATTTATTTATTTGTCAGAGAGGGAGAGCACAAGCAGGGAGAGCAGCAGACAGAGGGAGAGGGAGAAGCAGGCTCCCCGCTGAGCTTGGAGCCCGATGCGGCGCTCGATCCCAAGACCGTGGTATCATGACCTGAGGCAAAGGCAGACGCTTAACTGACTGAGCCACCCAGGCATCCCTGGTTCATTATTTTATACATGTACAGCTCAAGATCTCTCATGCTGACTCACCCCATTTCCCAGAGTAGTGTTGGGATTCACAAAACAGTCCCTTCGTAGTCATATTAACGTCCACCAGGTCAACTTACTTCCACAAACATTTTTGAAAAGGGACTACCTTTGGAGAATGAATTTAGGAAAGCAGCTGCCACCCCCCAAACTTCTACTCACCTATTTTACTACAGTGAAAACTAAAATGTCTGACTCTTCACCGACTGATTGTATGCAATTTATCAAACTATCTGCCCATAGTCCACCTTTTGTCTGGGTCTTAAATTCTCAGCTAATTTTGCCTTCTTGAAAACAGGACTGTTATTTCCATTCACCTGGGATGAATTCATCTGGGACCGCCCAGATGGAGAACTTTCCACTCATTCACTCATTCTTTCAAGCTAGTATCCATTAATCAAGGATGATGGGCCAGGTAATTGGCTAGGGGCTGGCAATATAAAGTTAAATTAGCCAAAGCTTCCACCCTTATGATACTCACACTTGTGGTGGAAGTCAAAGACTTCCAAGTTAGACTTCCAATGCCCAGCACCATACCTGGAGTTAAGTAGGTCCCCAATAAATGTTTGACACCTGTTTGGAGAGAACCCGTGACATTGAGAATATAGCATTGAGATGATGAATCAGGCGGCCATTGCAATGGTTCAGTAGGGACGTTATGAAGGACCTGGGGCTAGAACAGTGTATTTTTTCTGAGAGAGAATTGACATAACTGAGTGGCCAAACTGGATGTGGATGTTAAGAGAGAGGAAGGAATAAGGGATGCTTCTGAAATTTCCAGCTTGGGATATGTTGCATAGAATACAGGAAGAGGAAAACCAGTTTGGAGGATGGGGGTGGGGAGGAGTGAGGGGAAAGAGAAAATTAAGTTAGTATGGAACACTTAGTTTGAGAAAAATTATGTAAAATAGATGATCCACAAGTACCCCTTGAATGAGTGGAGAAGGTGGGAATGGATCACTACTTGGGTAACTGTGGGCAGATGGAAAGATGGACTAAAGGGGGATAAGGTGTAATATTCTGAGTGTGATGACAGTTGCCCAGCAGTTTCAGCACTTGGAGTAAGTAAGGGAGGACCAAGACTAGGTGGCATAGGAAATGGGTCCTGAGTGTGCATAGAATTTGGCTGGGGGAGGGTATAACAGGTGTGAGGTACGGTTAAACCTACTGTCAGCAAGGGCAGAGATTCATTCGAAGTTCTGGAGGGGTTTGGGTAAGTAATAGTGAAAATAAGGAAATGTCCCTTCGTAGTCATACGAAGATCATACATAAGGCCCTTAAATAAGAGGTAGCAGTTAGATAATTTGATAATTTATGACAATATAGGCTCTTGAGAAGGGAGCAGGGGTTGGGGGGTGATCAAA